CCTTGAGGACAGCATAACTTACGGCATATATTTGGCTCATTTTTCAACTGCTTTGTCATTGATTATCATTAATTGACATTTAGTATCATTGTCATTCATTATCATTAATTATTATTGATTATCGATTATTAAATATTATTATTGATGAATATTGATTAGTATTCATTATGCTTTATTATTATTGATTATCATGTATCATTATTGGTTATCATGGATTATCATTGATTACTATTGACTGTAATTGTCATTGATTAGTTGTTGATTATTATCGATTGCGATTATTATTATCATTGTCATCATCATCATTATCATTATTATTATTGATTGTATTTTGGGAATCTAAAAGAAATGAATTTGGCAAATGTGAGAACCAAGCTGTAATATTGGTGTGGTCTGGACCAGTTTTCAGTCAGATGTGTATAGAAAGTTGGCACTGTAACGTCTGTAGTCACTGTAGATCACCATGTTCTGGAGGCAATCGGTCCCATCATTTGTATTTACGCATGTACAAATTTTGCCAAAGATTGCTGATGAGCAACGCTTGTTTGAAATAAATTGTCTTAAACTTAACACGGTTCCAATCTGTTTTAATCACTCTCTCATGAGTGAATAATGGAATAAAGATGGCTTATTCACAATTTGTATTATTTCAGTAATCAGGAAGAAATAGATTTTCATTGTTCAAAAGTGACGCTTAGCGGTCAAAAATATTATTGCAGAAAAATCCCACGGGCCACAAAAGATCATGGCACAGACATGTGCAACGTTTCTTCGCTATGGTAACCGCCTGTAGCAATAACTGAATGCTGAATGCAGTCTATTCGGCTGACGAACACAACGTACATCATTTGGACATTCAGGAGGCCATCCAATCCATCACGTCAAGCCACGGTCTTGATTTTGCGCCGCCCAGTGACGGTTGAAGGTACTGCAGCAACTAGCCTTCGTTTCCCTGCGTCCGTACAATCAACCGTGACGGTTAAACCCCTTGCTAGGAGTGACTACACTGGGATTACGCCCATTTCTTAAAAATATATTCCAACATGTAATTACAAGACGTGGTGTCAGCACACTCAAGTCTTTTCGACTTATATTAATGCCACCACCAATACAGGGGACAATACAATACTCATTTTCACCTGAGCGAAGTGAGGAAAGTCGTGTAAAGTGCCTTTCCCAAGGGCACAAATATTGGTAACATGTCAGGGCTTGAACCCGGGACCTCTTGGTTCTGAGTCGAGCACTCTGCCGCTACGCCACACGACCCCACAATACGTCCATTTCACAAACCAGTAAATCTTCAAGATCCCTCTTAAAATACGTTAATAAGAGATAAAAAAGTCTAATCCTCTTAAGTTTTACAAACCCTACACGTGCGCGGCGTCACTGAAACACAAATCCTTACATGCTGGTGCTTTAGGTTGTTGTGATTTCCAAGACTGTCTGTGATCACTCAGACGACTTAGTCTGGCAGCGGATCAAGAACCCCACCACTTTATTGCACTGCATATTCCTCGGCCAAAATCCGCATCTTCCTCTCGAGTATGTAGTCGGACCAAGACAGAGGAAATCTGGAGTTCTCTACTCTCCAAGCAGAGGTGTGGGTTTAGGGTTATTTTTGGCGTGTTTTTAGGCTTTTTTGTCGTTTTTTTTGCACTGGAATCTTTTTCACCCAATCCAGTGCAAAAAAGAAACACGCCAAAATAACCCCAAACCCCAACCTCTGCTTGGAGAGTAGGAGCTCTCAGTATCTACAAGGACCTGTACGTCGGCTCATGGTTTGTGTGAGTAGTGATGAAGACTAGCTATCTTCGTAAATTATCTTTCGCAAATTACCAGTTTTAATTAAATGGTTAGAACACAAAGTCACACCTTTCTGGCTACAATAGCCCTGTTGTTTTTATGTGATTACATGCAAAACGAATCCGATTGTGAAGATTGTCTGACAAACAATATTCAAGTACTAGTGCAGACAAAAAGACCAAAATAGACCAGTCTACCGTGGCAACTCATGATAGCCAAAACACAAACACCACAAGAATGTGTTAGTCAAACCCACAAACTACTTTTCGGTCGTTTTTGAATCTGATTGTGACTCAATATCTGTATCTGTCAGGCTATTTGTTTTCAATAGCTTCGCTGGGGCCGGACACACATAGAACGAAAATGTCATGCCTGGTTCACAATGGGCTACTGATTACACGAACATAATAAAGATCGTTAAAAACTGGTAAATGAAAAAAACAAGTGACAAAAACTCTGATTGGGTTCCTATTGAAATGATGTCTTTAGGCGTCACTCTGGACAACTTGTGACGTATATGTTGTCATTTGTGATGTCATCAGTCATTTGTATATTTCTACAGCCAATCCGAACCTTCTGGTCATTTTTTAATGTTTGACATGCATCAATGTTTTTTTCTAAAACGTTTACCAGAACAAAATACGTATATATTAAATGGCATGTCCTTATGGATATATACAAGCGAGCAAAAGTAGTGGGGTTATTGTTACAGATACCATAACCGTGGCTTATATCTGGTTTATAGGCCTGAAAAGGTAAGGGTCTGAATGAATATACAGATGTGTGCCATAAAATATTGTTAATCATGGTGAATTAGAATTAAAAAAGGATTTCTGTTTCGGATTATTGGTAGATTTGCCCCTAAATATAATATTTTCCAAAAAGTCCCTCGACAGTACTTTTTATAGTTATTTTTGGAGCTTTTCACAAATTTCTAAAACCAGAGATGGAGCAATAGAATCTACAACAGCTTTTCCAGTTCCTCTGCCAGATGATAATGCACAGATATAACAATATGTTTTTAAAAAGCGGAGATTTTCAGTGATATTTGTGAAACATTTATTTTTTATAGTGAATTATCATATAGCCGGGTGACGTTGACCAATCAGAAGGCTCCATTCCACATTCTTTATGTCGCCGTAATGTCACAAATAGAGTCAAAATCGGGTATTTATTCATCCCAATCCATACATTAAACAAAATGAATAATCACCCGCATATGACCTCAGGTGACCCAATAGAACACGGCTCTACTTACTAAAAAAAATCCAAAAAAATAACTTGAGTTGTGTTCCAAATGACTCCCATAAAGAAACACCTGTTCCCTGCCTGTGACCCAGATAGAAGGCCATAGAAACATCGAAACCCCCCCCCCCCGTGACCTCAGGTGACTCCAGATGGAAACAAAATATTCTATGTTCTATTCAGCATGTGCAAAGTACATCGTGTCACTCTTCACTGCATCAGTTTGGATAGGCTATCGTGTAAGCTAATATG